AAAAATACAAGAAGACTTGAGGTCTTCAATGAGGTTGGTGCATTCTGAACTTATTATACAATGTGGTGGCGCAGGTCTCCACATTCCCCACGTGCTGGCCCCTTCAATCCTTATCATGCCCTGCAGGTAGACACCACTCTCCTCATTTCACCGATGAGGAATCAGAGGCCTAGAGAGACCAAGGAACTTGTCCAAGGCCACATAGCTAGTAACTGCCAGAGTTGTGATTTGAACTGATGTGGTCTGAGTTCTGGGCGCTGAACCGCTATACCAGGCCACCCTGCCACTCCATCCAGCAGGTGCTATAGTCTGAATAGCTGCCCCCAAATTCATGAAATCCCAACCCCCATGGTTCTGGTATTAGGTGGCAGGGCCTTTGGGGAGGTGATGGGATTAGCACCCTCATAAAATAGGCCCACAGGAGCTTGTTCACCCCTTCCACCACGTGAGGACATGGCAAGGAGCCATCTGCGAGCCAGGAAATGGGCCCTTACCAGACAGAACCTGTTGGCACTTTGAACTTGGACTCCCAGCCTCCAGAACGGGGAGAAGTAAATGTCTGTTGCTGATAAGCCACCCGGTCTATAGCATTTTGTCTTGGAAGCCTACATGGACTCAGCAGGGTTAAAAGCAGATTTTGAACACATATGAACATGGGTTCACATTGACAAAGACACTTCCTAGTGGTGCATCCTTGAGTAGTTCAATCCACGGATGGCTGCTGAGCACCTAGGAGCACTAGGGAGGCAGTGGAGATGGACATAAGGGAGAGGATGCGCTCTGGGCCAAGTTTTGTGCGGAGCACTGAAATGAAAGCCCAGAAGGCTGAGAATATCCTCGGAAAAACCAACCAGCTAGGGTGCAGGTGTCCCCTCTGTGCTAGAGGTGCACCCAGAGAGGAGGAACTCTCCCAGCTTGGGGTGGGGTCAAGATAACCCCTTGGAGGAGGTGACAACTGTTTTAAAGGTTCTGAGTCCACCAAGGGACAGTGGGGCAGAAAGCAGGGCAACGCAGGCTCAGGGCAATGCAGGCTCAGGGCACAGCATATGCAGAGAAGTGAGGGAAATGTCAGGGGGCCAGGGGACAAAGTCTGAGACGTGCTGGGGAGGTGACCTGAAGGAGTATGAATGCCAAAAAGAGGACTTTGGATTTTAGCCTAAGCGGAAGAATGACATGACCAGCTTAGCATTTTATTTTATTTTATTTTATTTTATTTATTTTTTTGAGACAGAGTCTTGCTCTGTCACCCAGGCTGGAGTGCAGTGGCGCGATCTCAGTTCACTGCAACCTCCGACTCCCAGGTTCAAGTGATACTCCTGCCTTAGCCTCCCGAGTAGCTGGGATTACAGGTGCCCACCACCATGCCCAACTAATTTTTGTATTTTTAGTAGAGACGGGGTTTCACCATGTTGGCAAGGCTGGTCTTGAACTCCTGACCTCAAGTGATCTGCCTGCCTCAGCCTCGCAAAGTGCTGGGATTACAGGTGTGAGCCACCATGCCTGGCTCAGATTAGCATTTTAGAAAGCTCACAGGATGGGACAGGGCAGCAAGTAGTAGAATGTGGTTTTAGGGTGGGCAGGGAGCAGGCAGGAGCAGAGATACCCAGGCCAGTGAGGAAGCTGCTGAACTCATGAAGGAGAGATGGCGAACAGGTAGTCATGGCTTCAGATGCCATTTCAAAGGCAGAAGTGGTGACTAAGCTCAAGAGTGACCAATGGGTGTGGGAGTGAGGGGAAAGGAAGTTGGGGCAGGCTCCTACATTGCTGGCTTTATGGGTTGGTTGCACCACTACCTAAAATAGGAACCATCAGAGGAGAAGCAAGTTTGGTGTTGGAGACAGTGACTAGTTTAGTTTGGGTGGGAGCTGTTGATTTTGAGGGACCCAGGGGCCACTATGGCAGTTACCATGAATGGGGTGTCATTGAAAAGGCTGATGAGGGTGCCCAGAAGAGACGTGGTTGTTTCAGGGAGTGGGACAAATATTTCAGAGGTGGGATGATTCTGGAGGGGATATGGTTTGGTTCTGTATTCCCACTCAAATCTTCTATAGAATTGTAACCCTCACGTGTTGAAGGAGGGGCCTGATGGGAGGTGATTAAATTATTGGGACGGATTTCTCCATGTTCTTCTCATGATAGTGAGTGAGTTCTCATGAGATCGAATGGTTTAAGAGTGTGTGGTGCCTCCCACCTTGCTCTCTCTCTCCTGCTCCATCATGGTAAGACATACTTGCTTCCCCTTCCCCTTCCGCCATGATTGTAAATTTCCTGAGGCCTCCCAGTCATGCTTCCTGTTAAGCCTGTGGAACTGTGAGTCCATGAAACCTCTTTTCCTCATAACCCCAGTCTCAGATAGTTCTTTTTTTTTTTTTTTTTTTTTTGAAGAGCAGTGTAAAAACAGACTAGGAGTCTATCAAGTGCAGGATGAGGTCACTGTAATGATGACAGTCTTTTTTTTTTTTTTTCGAGATGGAGTCTCGCTCTGTCGCCAGACTGGAGTGCAGTGGCATGATCTCGGCTCACCGCAACCTCCGCCTCCTGGGTTCAAGCGATTCTCCTGCCTCAGCGTCCCGAGTAGCCACCACGCCTGGCTAATTTTTGTATTTTTAGTAGAAACAAGGTTTCACCATGTTGGCCAGGATGGTCTTGATCTCTTGACCTCATGATCTGCCTGCCTGGGCCTCCCAAAGTGCCGGGATTACAGGCATGAGCCACTGTGTCTGGCCAACAGTCTTTCATTATGGATGGCTCAGTAGGTGCTGTCATGGCCCTGCCCTATCCTGCCCTATCGCTGTTCCCATCATGCAGACAGCTTCTGCCTGTAGCCCCCTGTACTCTCTGCCTCAGGGCTTTGGGGCCATGCACAGCAGGTTGGAAATATCTGGGAGGTAAGATCCTCAGAGCAGCTTCCAAGGGCACTGGGAGTTTGTGATCAGCATTCTACTTCTTCCTCCTCCGGTGGAATAGTGAGAGGCACAGTCTACATTGTGTCCTGGAGGTTCCCACTGGGACTTAGCTCTGGTTGCTAACAGTGGTAACTTGCTCACTGACATTCTTTGAACTGGCTTCTTTCCTCTCCTTGTCCCACTTCCTTACCTGTGCTTCCTGGGATCACCTCCCAAATCCACTACTTGTCCCAGGGTCTTCATGTGAAGGAACTCAACCCAAAACAGTGGCTCCAGCCCTTTGAGCTTCAGTTTCCTCCCTGTCCTTTGGGAGTATACTGAATGCTGTAAAAGCTGGGAGGCTGCACCCACATGTGAGGCTCCCAGCACCGGGCCCTGCACCCAGCAGGTACTGGGTTGGCACCTCTCTCTGCCTTCCTCTCTCATACATATGATAGGTGTTTAAGAAACTCCCATCTGGCCAGGCACGGTGGCTCTCGCCTGTAATCCCAGCACTATGGGAGACCTAGGCTAGCAGATCATGAGGTCAGGAGTTCAAGACCAGCCTGGGCAACATGGTGAAACCCTGTCTCTACTAAAAATGCAAAATTTAGCTGAGGCAGGAGAATCGTGTGAACCTGGGAGGCAGAGATTGCAGTGAGCTGAGATCACACCATTGCACTCCAGCCTGGATGACAGAGAAAGACTCTGTCTCAAAAAAAAAAAAAAAAAACCACCATTTTCTCAGACTGCCTGGAACAGCTGAACACTTCTTTCCTGCCAATCAACCTCCACAGGTTAGCCAATCCCTCAGGCCTGACAGGTCCTGAGGCTCCACTGAACACCTTCCACAAGACCTCCCATGCCCGCAGCAAAGGACTCCCTGGGGACTTCCTGACAAAAGGATGGGCCAGAGGCACATGCTGTCTGGCAGATGAGGCTGTCTGGGTTCCTCTAGGATAAACAGAAGTCTTGAGTGTGTCTATGCACTGAGCCAGGCTCTGGCTAAGACTTCTCATATACTATCATGTTTAATCCTCTCAGCAAACTGCAGGCTACTAATTCTTGCTCCAATTTCGCAATCCAGGAACCTGGCCTCAGAGTTACAGAGTTGGGTTACTTTCCCAGGCTACCACAGCCAGGCAGGGGTGGAGTCAGGATTCAGACCTTAGTCTGCCAGAAAGAGCCCAGGATCCTCACTGGGAGAGCAGGAATGTGCCATGTCCCCCTGCTGTCCCCATGCCTGGCACAGGCTCTGAACAGAGAAGGAGCTTAGAAATGCGTGTTGGGCTGAACTGAACCAAATCAAAAGACTCCAGAGGAGAAGAAAGAGCCCACTTTCTGTTGGACACAAAGTTCCCAGGGCGTTTCTGCAGCGCCAGCTCCTTGTGCAGGGCCTGGCACACAACGATGTTCAAGCAAGGCTTGGGATCCATAAAGGAGCAAACATTTCATATTCTCGGCCAGAAGTTACACTGGGGCCCAGACCTATTATTGCATTAAGAGTTGCACAATATGATTTTCTAATTCTGTTATTCCTGCTTCATTCTTGTGTGAAAAAGACTTTTCCTTCATCAACTGTCCACAGCAAACTCCTTCCCTCCTCTGAGCTAAATCCGCATGTCTGAAGGAAGTTGTCCTGCGTGTCCCACTAAATACAGGCTCCTTTCAGCTCCCTCAGGAGGCGGGGTGGGAAGAACCTGTAGCAAGCACCTACTCTGTGCTTTAGCAAGTGCCGTCTCCTTTCATTTTCACAACAGCCCCTGGGTCGGAGCTGAACAGCCCTGCTGGATGGATGAGAAGACCCAGACCAGGGGAGTTAAATGACTTGTCCAAGGTGACCTGGCAAGTTACAGGCTGAACTGGGATTGATCCCAGATCTACCTGGCCCCAAAAGTTATGCCCTTTCTCCACCACCCACCTTCCTTCCAGGCCCGAGTTTCTTCCCTTCCTGATACACTGTGGTCGGTGCAGATCTCAGAACGTGTAAACCTGGTGACACCAGATCCGTCACTTGACAGTGAGTGAAGGAAGTACCCAGGGATCGGCTTACTAATTCTAGGGGCCATTGAATTATTCATGCCATCATTAACTTGGAGGCCCTTTCAGCCTCACCTCTCTCCCCTGCTCCGGACCCTCAGATCCTGGCCTACCTGAGCTCGGCAGACCTGTGGGGGCCCCTGGTGAGGAGATGCTGGCAGAGCGGGGGGCTTGCCTGCTGCTGGCAGTGGCACTGCTGGGTCCAGGGCCCCGGGCCCAAGCCATGGAAGGTAGGCACTCTTGGGACAGACACAAACTGGGAGGGGAAGGAGGTGGGCAGGCAGCAGCCAGGGGCTCAAGAAGTTTCTCTATGGGAAGCCAGAAAGCAGGAGGTCCTTTTAGGGGACGTGGCTGAGTTGAGAATGTATTTGTTCCTGAGATGGGGGGAAGACAATATTTATTGAGTGTCTGCCATGTGTTGGATGTTTCACATGTAGGTTGCATTTAATATGCACAACAAACTTCAGGGTGGATGTTAGTCCCCCATTTTCCAGATGAAGAAACTGAGGGCTAGAGATATTAAGTAACCTGTCCAAGACTACATGGTCGCCAAGGTTGAAGGGAATGGCTCCAAAAACTATTAAAGGTTTATTGCTAAAGAAGTTTTTTATTGTTGTTTGTTTTTTGAGACAGAGTCTTGCTCTGTCACCCACGCTGGAGTACAGTGGCCCAATCTCAGCTCACAGCAACCTCCACCTCCCGGGTTCAAACAATTCTCCTGTCTCAGCCTCCCGAGTAGCTGGGATTACAGGCGTGTGCCACCACAACTGGCTAATTTTTGTATTTTTAGTAGAGACGGGTTTCACCATGTTGGTCACGCTGATCTCGAACTCCTGACCTCAGATGATCCGCCTGCCTCGGCCTCCCAAAGTGCTGGGATTACAGGCGTGAGCCACCGCACCCAGCCTATTGCTGAAGAGTCTTTATTCTCCTCTTGAGACCCTGCTGTCCATCCCACTGCCAAGCAAGTGAAATCAAAGTTCCTTCTTATGGTGTTCAGTGCCCTCTGAGTGTGGGCTCCAACTTCCATATCGTATTGAGCCTCAGTTTCCTGCATCCCTTGGGCATCCCATGCTCTGACAGGGGAATTACAACCCCTTCTGCTTCACCCTGAGGGATCTTAAGTCCTGCTGTCCCCTCTGTCTGGAAAATCTCTTTTCCCTTTTTCCACCTGAGAACATCTGGCTCACCCTTCAAGCTCAGATCAAATACCACTCCCTGCATGGCCTTCCACATCCTCCATCAACCTCACATGTGCCTTCACTGGGGCTCCTGGAACCCTCTGCCTGCACTGTGGTCCCCAGTGGCTTTGAGCTGCTCTGGCTTTTCAAGCGTTGTTTACCTGTCTGTGAAGCTGGGGTGGTATCATTTCACCCTTCTGCAAGGCTCAAGTGGGGCTCAGGGAGGAATTGTACCTTGCCAGTCACCCAGTCACTGACAGAGATGGGACGGGCACCCAAGTGTCTCAACCCATGCCTGGGTGGTGGGAGGAGCTAGCTGTTCCTATTTTCCAGCCACTGGGGCTTAAGGAGCCTTGGGGTAACCCTGGGCATCAGTGTGCCTGGCTGGGTCCTAGTGGACAAGGCCTCTGCTTATGCTGATGACTGGAGCCACCTGGGCTGTAAGCATTTCTCTGATGCTCTGGTGTCTTTCCCTGTCCTGTGGGTAGGGCTGGGGGAAGGACAACAACAGGCATTGGACAGAATATCTCTTTGTCCTTTTGCCATAAAGGTATGAATTAGATGCCGTTCCTGCCCTGTCCCACTCCAAGATCCAGGCAGAGAGCCAATAATGTGCATCTGTGTGGCCCTCACACAGCCTTTAGCTCATCAGTGCTCACAGTCACCCAGCAAGGGAGGCACCACTGTCCCCATTTCACGGCTCACAGAGGCTAAGTGCACGTGTGTCTGAGCCTTTGTCCATGCCATTCCCTCCCTGCAAATCTTCTCCAACTGATGAAACTCATCCTTCCTAGACAAACTCAAATATCACCCGCTCTGGGAATCTTGCCCCTCCTTGATACTGCTGGCCCCAGGAATATTGGATTTCCTCTCCCCGGGCCCCAGAGCCCTTTTGTGGTCACAGTGCAATCACGCTGTGTGTTTTGTCTTATTTCCCTGACTCCCCCTCCCCGACCCCATGGTGAGCTTCCCACGGAGGGGCCCATTTTGAATCAGCACAGGCCTGGTACAGGGCACATGTTTAGCGAGTGTGTCTTCTCTTACGGGGATTTAGTTAAGTATATTCTTCAGGATGTTTTTGGTTGCAAGTGACAGAAACTCAACGTGGATGAGTTTAAGTAAAAAGAAGAATACATTGGCTCTGTAACCAGGGAGGCAGGAGGTAGCCGAGCTGGGCTCAGGGATGCCACAGCCAGGGCCTCTGGGCTCCAGGGCCACTTCCACTTTTCTTTTTTTTTTTTCTTTTTTTTTTAATTTATTTTTTATTATTATTATACTTTAAGTTCTAGGGTACATGTGCATAATGTGCAGGTTTGTTACATATGTATACTTGTGCCATGTTGGTGTG